CTGGGCTGGCCTTTACCTGAGATCTCCATGTCATCCAGGCTGGGCTGCAGGGGGGCCAAGTCTGGCTGGATCATGTCAGCATTCCCAACATAAGCTGGAAGAGGGCAGAGCTGCAACAGCAGGGCCCAGCCACTGCACCCCCAAAACTCCCCTTACCCCTGCTGTCACCCCCCTGTGACACCCCAGAGTCACCCCACAACCATGTGCAGGCAGAGAAATGGACACCCACCCTGCAGAAACCCAGGGCCACTACCCTGCCCACCTCTGGGATCCCACCCAGCACCCAAGAAGCCTAAGGAAATGCTGAGCCTTGGCACAGGACCTGCCTGGTGCTGCAGGATCTCCAGGGACCTGGCCAGGCAGGGACAGCAAAAGGTGTCCATGGAAGGCAGGACCTGCCTGCTGCTCACCCAGGGCTGGCAGCTCTGCCCTGGGGTCTGCTGCAAGTTTTTCATGGGGTTAGTGCTCCTCAAGCTGGTCTGGAGGAAGCCAGAGGAGAAGGGAAGCCTTCTCCCATGGCTCCTTCTCCATTTGAGCAGGAGCATCCCCTCCAGGAGATCCTGTCTGCCCAAAAAATCCAGACAGCAGCTCTCAGGGGCTAAACCAAGAGGCAGCAAGGTGCTACTGGCCATGCTGCCCAGCTGGATCTCCTCCTCTAGTGAGAGCATGGTCTGAGGCACCTACCATCCTCGGGGACTGCCTGGTGGGTACTGGGAGTCTGTGTCATGGTGAAGAGAGTGTCAGAGATGTCTGAGAGGAAGGTGTCCAAGTCGAAGTGCTGCCTACCCCCTGGCTCCTCTTCCTCATCCCCAAGCAGCATGGGCACCACGTTGCAGAAGAGCTGGTTGCACCATTTTTCTGTTGGCCTCCAGGCATCCTCATCCTGCATGAGACAGAGCAAAGGAGCCTCGTGGACACCTCTTATGGGCAGGGTCCATGCCTGGCTCCTCAGCTGCCCTCCCTGGCAGCTCCCATGCTCTCTGCAGCATTTATCACTCCACACCTTCACACGTTGGTGCTTCTGGGAAGGTGAATCCAAAATCCTAAGTACTTGGCATCCCATCCCATTGAGTTTGCCACTCCCTTTCCAAGCTGCCCAGTGCAGGATGTCCATGTTACACTCCCCCTTCCCTCCTCTCCCCCAGCAGCCTCACCTGCTTTGGGCTGGAGAGCTCTCCCTCCCGGGTGCACTTTCGCAGCTGGAAGGAGAAAACAGCCTCTGTCACTGCCCAGCCAGGGTGGGCACGGCTTGGGGCAGAGCTGGGGCAGCACCAGGAGGGGGGTCCTGGGGTGCTCAGCGTGGCCACCACGAGTTCACATCTACCTTTACCCTGCGGGGTCCAGGCTGCAGCGGGGGCGGGCTCTGCCCTCAGCCCCGCCAGCGCCACGGGAGCAGCCAGCATCCCCCCTGCCCTGTCCCACTGCTCCCAGCCATGGCTCCACCCTGGGCACACGGATGTCCCCTCCCGCTGCTGGCAGTGCCATGGGACAGGCAGCAGCGCGGGCAGGGCCACTCACCCGCTTCTTGTAGTAGATCCTCCACTTGTGGTACTCCCGCAGCACCACCTCGATGCGGCGTTTCCAGTAGTTGCCCTCCAGCACCACAGCCTGGGGGGCAGGGCAGGGGGTCACGGCCGAGTCTCCCCACCCCAGCGCCCCGCAGCCTGGGCTGGTTCCCTTGTGCCGTGTCAGGAGCAGCTTTCCCAGCACAGCTATGGGCCGCCTGCCCTGCGTGTCCCCAGCGCTGCTCCTGCCCGGGGGGCTGTGCCCACCTCTGGTTTTCGGTGCTCATCAGCCTCCGACCCCTCCAGCGGGGTGATGAAGCCACACACGGGGTTCTTCCTCCTCTCCACATCTGTCCAGGGTGAAAACACAGCTGGCTTCAGCCATGGCCCATCCCTGGGCAAGGGGGGGTCCCCAGGCAGCCCTGCCCCGGTGCCAACCACGTCCCACGCGGCCGGGGGGCAGGCGGAGCGGGTTCTGGCCCCGCACTCACACTGGATGTACCACGCTCTCCAGATGGCGTTGTTGAGGCGGATTTTATCCCGGCAGAGCAGCCGCAGCCCCTTGAAATTCTTCCACTTGGGAGACACCAGCTTCCCGCTAGAACACCAAGCACAGGAGAGGCTGAGGAGCACTTTGCCAAAGTCCTTCTGGTTTGGGTGGTCCCGGGGGGGCTGTGCCTTGAGAGGTGCCTGGGGCCACCAACCCTGTGGCTCTGCTGCCAGCTGCTTGCCAGGCACCTCTAGGAGCACCCATGGGAGCACCCCAAGCTCCTGGTCACCTTGAGAGCAGCACAGACCTAAACAATGAGCTTCACATGCCACATGAGGCTTCTTGAACCCCTGAGATTAAAGCAGAGCACATGGAGGAATTGAGTCCTTGAGACTTGAGCCCTTGTTCCAAGAATGGACCCCACTGCCCCTGACC